TTCAATAGAAGTTTCCAATAAGTCTTCTTTTGTAGAATAGTACGTAAGAAACTCAAGCTCTGTATCTCCCCCATATGTTCCCCCCACTCCCACCCCCATCCCCGCCAAGTGCTCTACACCTCCCCCCAATATGCATATATTAAACACGACATTAAATTCTGGTCTTAAAGCTAGATTTAAACCTGGCCTAGGATGCATGTTAACCAAAAAATGTGCAATTATAATGTGTGGATGGAATCTGTCATATAATCTTCAAACGTGTGTAAATTTTTTGTCTTATATCTGTTTCATGTAGGACTGGGATGCAATTCCCTATCTAGCAGTTGCACACTTACAGAGTTTTGGATCTATAGTTTCTTTTAAATTGTCAGAAGTCATCTAACTTTAGCATATAATATATAGAAAGGATAATGAATAGGGAAGTTAATGTGCAAGAGGGATGAGCATGTATTGCGGCATGCTATGGCTAATTCTTGCTCTAGCAGAAACTTGATACAAAATAATCTGGTAAGAACAAACTTTTGCATGAATTTCCCTGATATTTCCTGAACTTAATATTAATTTGATTAGTGAATTTAAGATGCAAAATAACAAACTTTTTGTGGGGTGCTTTTGGAAAATCGTGTGTGCTCTGTATTCTGGCAAGGTGAGGTGAAGAGATTGGATAATTGGTTTAAATTGCTCTTATATCCCCCTTCCTTTATTTTTAATGGTCAGGAAAGAAAATGTGCAAGAGTAATGTGTGTGTGTTGTTGGGTGCTGAGGGATCATTGCTCTGATGGAAACTCGCATCAAATTTGACTGGTAAGGATATATTGCACTTGATAGTTTTGGGATAGGTATAATCGTTACAATTATGAATTGATACAATTACAGATTAAATGAATTGTGTGCTTTTGTTTATTTTTATTTTATACAATACAATACAATGGGATAACAGTTAATTCAATTTGAGGACTATTTGTGAACTACATTTAACTATAGCATATCATGTAAATACAAAAATATAGATAATTACTGTATGTTATTGAGATAATAATTATTATTTATTTTAACAGTTGACATTGAAATGGAATTATAAAATGAACAAAAATATCTTAATCAGACTGGTGATTATGTGGTGGATTTTGATTCCCTAAAACATTGCCAAAATTGAAGTATAAAATTATCTTATAATGGTTTTAAAATGCTCTAAAAGTGAAGGAAAATGATGTTAAAAAATTTATTAAAACCAGTTCAGATGAACAACTTGAGCTGTTGGATATGTTACTGATGTAATTGAGTCTTTTTCCTTTCGTTCAAGTAAACTCAGCAGGCAAACATTTATTTTGGAAAGTTCTTTTCCAGGAAATCTGTTTTTAGTTATCTCAAAATCAGACGAATTGACAATGCATTTGATAGGCGTCACAAGAATCTTATATTACATACTCGCAACAGCTGACATTTCAATTTGTTTGTGAAAAATCGAATTTGGTACTCAGGAATTCTTTAGAGAATATTTGTTGCATCTTGTAAATATTATTTCAAAGAAGTACCATTAAAATGGGGGAAATCAGTGAAAAATGGTTTAAAAATGGGGGGAAAAAATAAGAACTGACCATTAGTAGAATTTGATGAAAAATACAAAAAGAAAATTTATAAAATAGGTCATTTTTCTTTGTCATAACATAACATTTTAATAAAATCTTCCCCCTGCTCGTTATTAGTTAATTCTATCATTTTATATAACCTTACATTATACAGTAATCAATTATTAGTTATTTGATTATAAAACAGTGTGTGAGAATGACTCGTGTTTCGAAATCAGACTTCGAGGATTAAAAGTAGGATACAGATAAGCATTGTCAGTTCCAATAGTGGATAGTTTCCAACATCTTTAAACTTGAGAGACTTTGTCAATCTTCTGTGCTAAACTTAGAGATGCTTAATCATCCCCATGCTGTCAGATGCCTGTATCACTCATGCATATTCTAGTTTAGATCTCAAATAAAAGTAATATGACACTAGCAATGATTTAACCATTTTAAAATCTCTACCCAAGTCTTAGTAAATATCCAATGCTCTATTGTGGATGAATGAACAGTAGGGTTTGCTGAAGCTTAAAAACAGACAGAATTCTTGAAATTGAATAGAGAGACACATTAAAAGGCCAAAAAATGAGTTCTGTGAAATTATCTGTTGGTAAGGGGGTAAATTTTGTAATATTAAGGAGGTGGGGAAGGGCTTTAAAGCAAAGTTACACTGTGTTACACTGGAGGTAGAGTGAGACATTAGCTTAGTGTTGACATTTATTTTTTTTATTTTCAGTATTTGCTGAAATAATTTCCTTTATTTAGTCATACTAAAGCATTAAGATATTAACATAATAAATTTAAAAATATGAAGAAATTATGAGGTAATTCTTACAATAAATGGAAATATTTTTTCATCAATGATATGTTAATTGAATCAGCTAAATTACAAAGAAAATATTCAAAACTGATCTGCAGAGTATTCTAGAATTCAATCAAATTGGCACAATAGTCTCCCTCATTTTTTTCTGACTTAAAAATTGTCTTTCTAATTGCTAGGCTTGTTTTGCACTGAATCACTAATTCTAACTTTAAATGTCCTAAGTTTTAATGTATATCTCAAATAAAATAAATATAAATTGTTTTTACTCTTATAATATATTTTTACTTCCTGTAAATGGTGGGCAGGGGAACTGTCACATGCATTACATTATTATTTAGGGGGAATTCAAGCGTGCTTTACTGGGGGGAGAAGGGGTATTCAAAATACTCTAAATTTGCATTATGTAATTTATAGATAGCCCCTAAGGTGATAGATTGATAGGAAATACAAGATCAAATAAAGCGTGGAAGGTAATAAAGGAATTAGAATGGAAAATAAAGATACACCAGGGATGAGTGCAATTAGCTTGCAAGAGTGGGCAAAGTATTATAAACAGCCGATATCCAAAGACAGACCTCAATATCTGCAGCAGGAACTAGAGGAGATAGAAAATATGGAATGGAATAATGAGCTTGAGGGCTTAAGCTCAGAAGAGGTAAGAGTGATTCAGGCATTAATAAAAACAGGAAAGCTCCTGGGCAGGATAACATCAATGTAGAATTGCTAGCAGAAAAGCAGCACCTGATAGTGTGATGGATGTCTAAGCTATTATTTTTAATAAATGCCTCCAAGTTCCACTTAGTGATGGAAGGTGGCATATTTTACTCCTCTTTAAAGAAAGGAGGCAGACAGGATTGTTAGAACAAATTATATGCATAGTGTGCAAACAGTATGGTAGGATCATAAAATGGAAAATCAAAGACCAAAAGAAAGCGTAGGCTTCCGCAGTCAAAAATAGTACAAGGGGTTTCTGATTGCTATAATTCAGTAATATAATGTTAATATCTTCTAATATGGCTCCCAACCTTACATTTTTCAAGAGGGCTTACGATAGATTAACCAAACACCGTCCTAGTATTATCTAGTTAAACTCACATAGAATTGAAACTACTACTGTAACTTTTGGTTTTTTGTAACCTTTGCAACTTTTGTAACTTTAAATGCTATTTGACTTTTTTAACTCATTAACTTCTGCTATTACTAAATATCTTTAATGTATATTACACACAAAATGTCAAATATGAATTATGTTAGCGATGATTCAAGCTACACCAGTTGTACTGGTGCCTGTAAGTACTTTAAATAAATACGTAATGTATTTGTTGGTAGTTCAAACAGCATTTTTACTGAGAAATATATTGTTCTTTTTTGTGTGTTATACAGACGTTTCACAAAGCGGATTTATGTGGGGCTGCCAGATGCTGAGACAAGAATTCTGCTTTTGCGACGCTTGCTGAGTCGCCATGGCAGTCCATTGGCACAGGATGAGCTGTGCCGGCTGGCACTGCTGACAAAGGGTTATTCAGGAAGCGATCTGACAGCCTTGGCGAAAGATGCTGCCCTTGGGCCAATCAGAGGTAGGGTTTAACCCACAAGCTAATCAAATAAAGAAATTGACAGTATTAAGATGACTAGAAGGACAAATCCTGGTAGGGTAAGGTATTTATATTTTATCAAAAAGGCCATGTCATATCTTGAGGCTACAGAACATAATTATGGAACTTAACAATGTTTCCATGTCAAAGAACACGTTTTCTGAAAAATTGAACTTGTCTCCTATTTCATTCAATTTTTACTTTTGTGTCATACTATGTACTTATGTAATAAAGAAATGTTATGCTGTAACGGAAAGTGATGATTTTTTGTCAGAAACACTTGTATTGTGGGGTCCTGAATGAAAAAAATGTATAAATATTGTTCCTGTAGGTAGTAAATTACTTCTTCTAACACTTTGTGAAGTCAGAATCCATATTTTGTGAGACCTTGATACTATTTGTCCGTCTGTAGTCTACACTAGTGCCTAAACAGTCTTCAAAATTGTTGTGCATGAACTTGCCTGGTGAGTGTGAAACAGATATTTAGATTTTTGGGGGTACTCTGTCAGAATATTAAAAATTTCTCCAAAATATTCCTATAAAAATGTTGATAAAAATTAAACAATAAAGCATTAAGTGCAGTAATTAATAATAAACAAAATTTACATGTACCTAAATTTTTGCAATGGTAAATATTTATTAAATTAGAGATTATGAGACTATTAATTGACTTCTATTAAAAAAATGTGCATGTATATTATGCTGGATTTGAATCAGGAATGTACGTTTTATCAACATACATTCATCACTACAATAAAGGATATTTATGTTAAATTTTAATAAATTTTTGCTAAAGCTGCTGCTTTTTGGAGGATTGCTTTCAGATTTTCTCTCTGAGGCCATAAATAGCTTCTCAAAGAATGATTTGTGGATGGAATTATCTTCTTTAAAGTTAAAACTTCCTGACTTCCCCATTTATTGTGTTCCTAAGTGGTGAAAATTTGAAAAAATTTAATTACATATGATATTTGCTTTTTTGGTCTAATAACAGTGATTTTTACTCTATTGCAGAGCTGAATCCAGAGCAAGTGCGATGTCTGGATCCCAACAAAGTGCGAAACATCAACTTCCAAGATTTCCTTGACTCTCTAAAACGCATTCGACACAGTGTCTCTCCGAACAACCTGGCTACATATGAAAAGTGGAATTTGGAATATGGAGATGTCAGTCTGTAGATTTGGCAGACATTTCTTTTCCGTTCATATTCATTTTTCTTGTTTTGTTTTGTATTGTTTTGTTTTGTTTTGTTTTGTTTTGTCTGTGTGATACTATTCCTCTTTTTCAAAGTTTTCTTTTATACTTCACATTTCCTATGAAATATTTATCACTTCCTTTTATTGTTATATACCTTCCTTCACATCACATCATATTATTTTTGACTTCTCAGTTCTTATTACAAAAATCCTTTTTGTTTAAAATGTTTCCTTCAATACCCATGCAGTGTATGGGAAATACGTAGCTGCTGCTTCTACAATAAGGCTGTATGAATGTGTCTTTGTTTTGCAGTGTTGAAAAATTTGATAAGCTTTTGTGAACATTCCAAATGTGTTGATTGCAAAGTAATGTATGCAGAACGATTCGCAGGAGCAGTAATAGTAGGAAAGTTGAGAATTGTTTGCTTCATACATTTGAGTTATGCAGCAGATTTGCGTACACTTTACAAATGGGAATACTTCACTGTGAAATAAAAATAAAAGAACACTTTATTTGTTAATGGCACTTGTAGCCCAAAATAAGTTGACCAAGCACTGTTGTTGGTGGGTTATGTATTGTTATGCAGCAGTGAAGATGTGTCTTGTTTGAATGAGAGAGCTGGTTAATACACCACTTCTGTGCAGTGTGAAGAAATGAATAAGCTTGCCGCTGGTATTTAGTGGAATCACGTCATTGCGTGATAGGTACCTGATCCAGCTTGTGGTGATTTGCTCGCCAAGAGGCTCCACAGATAGGGTGTTGCTCATCGGTCCCTCACTGCCCTGGCCAGCCTTTGCTCGCACCTTGCCCCTGCGCGTGGCCGTCCCACTGTTCAGCAGTTGAACGAATAATGTTTGGGTCCAGGATCGAATAAATCTAAGTTTCTGTGTGTTTTATAAGTGGCATCTTCTTTGTTCAAATGCTAACGATTTTTATGAATAAAAATGTTATGTGCTGTTTTATCGACTTTTATATAATTATTAATATTGTGATCATAAGGGAGGGATGCAAGCGGACTTCAAGGCCACGGCTGTGAGGGGAGAATCTTATTGGGTGCTTAATAGATGGCATATGGTTGCCGTTACATTCCAGCACCCATTGGTAGCACATGCCTGCACTGATTACAGTTGCACAGTGGTTCACCAGGCTTCTCTGCTTTTGTACGCTTGTGCTGCACTGTTTAATGCACTTGTTTTTTTCTTGCCATGTGAGGATGAATGTGTATGTATGAAGATTTTTGTCTGTTTGAATGTTTGGGCACCTTGAGCCCAACTAATATGATTTGCATAATACTCTTAAAAGAGGGATGTATTTGTCTGCAAGGAAGAGGGAAAGAACACTTGATGTTAAAATCTCTTATGAGAAATTCTCTTGTTACATGCCCATGCAAGTTTGTTTTTGTGTATTTTAACAATGAAACTAAGCTCAATCATATTTGTTTTTAAGTGTTTTGGCTAAGTACTGCGAGGCAGTGACTTGCCGCAACATGGCTGTTGATCCACCTCTTTTTCACCACATTTATAGCTGAATATTTTTATGATAAGTGCATGTATCTTGCATCTCATTTGGACGGAATAAAGGCTAAGTGAATATTAATGTTCTTAGTAATTTCTTTATAAACTGTAACACTTTTTTTTATCTTAAATGCTAGTATATCCTGCTTACAACTTTGTAAAGTAAGGATTATTTTAAATGGAAACTGTTTAGGAGTATAAAAGCTATTGATACTTTCCTATGAATGTATTATTGTTTGAGATATTTTCCCTTGCTGTATTACCCTAAAGAAAAATAATAAAATTCCTTTGGAAAAACAAGGTAAGTTCCTTAATCTTGGTAATTTCTGACCATATAATGTGAAGTGTATTCATAAGTAAAAATATATTGTAGCATGAAAGTATCAAACATTTCTCTTTGACTTGAGAAACAAAGGCCTAGTCAGAAGGGCTGGAGGCTGGAGCCACAAGAAAATCTTGGGTCATGTGAACAGCCAGGAGATTCACACTATTGCATGCAGACTAAGTTATATCGAACAGCTGCCAAAGACCGTTAGGTGTCTGGTGCTAAACAATAAGGCAGGCACATCATGTGACTGTGTAGTACAAAACACAAGAGACAGGTGTTGGTGGTATATACCAACTGGAGTTCTTGTGCATGAACATGAAAACCATGATGCAAGAATGTTCCTTGCATCATGATCAAAAGATTCTGTCACATTGGTGCGTATCGTTTGCTAAGACAATGGGGTATGGCCTCAATCTCTGGTGGCTGCAGTCACAGAGTACAGTATGTATTTGTGTCCTTTGGGGGGGTGCATTGGAACTATGCTACATCAGGGAAACTGCTGAAGCAGTAGATAGTTTTCTTGAGTTGTGATATAGTGAAAGTAGTGGTATTACAACATGGTGCAGACTTTCTCATACTATTTGTAATGGTTATGTAAAATTATAATTGTATTGCAATTTATATACTGAACTACAGGATGTCCAGGGAGGTAACATTAAAACCTCAAAAATTTGCTTTTAATTTCAAAACAAAATGAATATATGTGTGCAGAAAGAAAAATTAATCCATGCAAACTATATTTAATCCTTTTTTTAAATTTTGTTGGTCAGTATTTGCAGATATACAGGTCAAAGAATATTATAAAGAATTTTAAATGAAAATGTTTTCAAAACTTATTGGATACAGGAAAATGGAAGTTATTTCAGTAATGCTTGCACTTCAAAATTTATAAGCAATTATTGGTTCTGAAAAATCTCTCAACAATTTTTTTTTGTAGACCTGTGTAATTGACAATGATTCTGAAAAGAATTGGATTGGAAAGAAGAAAATGTGTCACCTAATTTCAACCTTAGACTTCATATAAAAATTTGAGGTCGCTAAAAAGTAGTGATTATTTTAGGAGTGTGTTATTTGTCACGGAATGACTTGAGGGCATGGATGTTTCTGGTTACACACTACCATTACCGCATGTATTGTCAATCATGGTAGTGCAGTTGTTTTCAAGTCACTCCATCAAACATTAAATTGAACTGGAAATAGTGGTACAAGGCAACCAAAAATGGTGGCAAAGGCAAATTGGTTGTAATTGTGATTTGCAACTTGTGTTCAAAAGCCAAAACAAAAATCCATCACGTTTTTATTTATTTAAATAATTTTTCTTGTGTATGTTATCATATAATTGGAAATTAAAGCCACACATTTCTTTTAAATTGGATGAAATTATTATGAAGATATTTGTTAGATAATTAATGAAAAATATTATTGAATTGGTGATTTCATAAAGGGCATGAGACAACGATTTTTTGTCTTTCAGAAATTGAGCTATGAATGTTGTGTATCTTCTTCATAGGTGATATTGTAATACAGGGTGAATAGGGACATTTTTTTTTACTTTATAACTCTTATACTTGGAAACAAACTTTTGCGTTTGAACCAAATAATTTTTATCATCATGCGTAACTGCTGACTGCCAATGAATATATAAAAAGATTTGTATTGTTACTGTAACTAATGTATTTTTTTTGACATGTCCCCATTTGCCCCGTAATAAAGGTCAATAGAGACATTATTATTTTGGCCTGATATCCTTGTTCAAGTAGAGAGTGGGGTACATAGAGACATAAACTATGTTTAAAAAAAAACAACTTATAAGTTGAACATTAAATTTATTTTATAATAACATTATATACTGCCAAAACTGAGGTGCGGACACTAGGGGGAGAAATGAGGGAAATTTCCCCCACCTCCAAATTTTTTCAGTAACCATTAATATAATCTTGCTACGAAACTTTCAAGCCAAAATATTTTCAAATTATCATTAAATCAAATAAAATCGTGATACCTGACAATATCTTTATTTATTTATCATAATAAAAAGGTATCTACCTCCAACAATCCAATTAATAAAAATAAAATCGTATCACAGCATGAGCAGAGTTAAGCCTGTGTCATTTTTCACAATTGGTAAAATGACTCATTTGACCAAATTATTTCAAATAAAAAACTATCGTAATTTATTGATCACACGCGACTCTCTGTTAAGCACGTATATAGTATCTCTAGGATAGAGAAGTACTTCTCAAAAATGGTTCCAAATTTTTTCTTTTTATTTCTTGTAAGAATAGTGTAAAATACACTTATAAAGGTGGTGTAGGTCAGATTTTCAATGTTAAGTCTGAATTTGTGATAATTACAAAAGTTAGAAATTTTTTCGACGACATCCAACTACAAAATTGAAGAGAGAGATTTTTCCTTTATATAAAATTTGTTCTCCATGATAAGTTCCTTTATTAAAATCATGTACATTTATATCTATCTATCGTTTTGGGGTCCCCTGATCCCGAAAAAGTAGTTATTTTCAAAACGTCTGTCTGTGAACACTACGAGCACCTAAACCATGCATAAATTTTTTTCCCAATTGAAGAAACCCCTTACTAAGGCTCGAGTCGAAGCTTTGAGATTTTGAAAAAAAATCTTAAAATTTCATTTTTTCAAAAGCAGCTCCAATTTTTTTTTCAAACTCTTCGTACGGATAGTGCTAATTGCACTGTTTATGATGATATAAATGTCATTTTGCTGTATTCTTTTGTTTTTTCAAAAATTACACTAATGTATTTTTTTGAAAATATTTCTAACGCCTTTAATATGCACATTTCCAGCAATCTGTATACATCATTGCATTTGTGAGTGGAAGCGATTCAAATTACTTCCAATAAAGTTTTTCGAAAACTCAAAAGAGATCTGTGAAAAAGAGCTTCAAATTTCGCATTTACTGTAACGCTTATACGACATTTTCGTAAAAAGGCTCCAAATGTTTCAACAAAAATATCCATATAGAACGAGGTTTTACTATTCTATAATATTCTTAGTAGAAGTTTATCCAATTAGTTTATAATGTTAAGCTTTATTGCATGAGTACATGTTTTGAAAACGAGCGACTTCAGGAGCAAGTTTTCAAATTTGTACGAATGTAGTAAAGCAACATTATAAACGAGTTGCATACCATACTTTTTTTTGTATAACAGCATTATACATTTATAATTTATATCTTATCTTTATACACACACACAAATCCTCCCTTCAAATTCGTCTCTGGATCCGCCCCTGCATAACTTATCGTAAGTCTGTTAATTGATATCGTCCCTGATGATAATATTAGGTGGATGCAGAACTGTCGCCTATTTATTATGCTGAAACTACAATTGGGTTAATGGTTATGTTTGAGACCTTTGCAGATTCCTCTAGAAAAGTTCCAATCACTTTCAAATACATACAATACCTCTTCCAATCCTAGATCATTTGTAAATTTCACCTGTACCCAGGTTCCTTCTCTATGGGTATTTTCTTAATACTGGCTGCATCACCTTCTTCATCGTCAGACGACGACATACATTCATTCTTCAAAGATACAAAGTCTTCAGGAGAAACACTTCTCCCAGGAGGTACTTGCAACCTCGAGTTTCAAGATCGTTTTCGAAGCGCATTTCTTTAAGAAAGTCTGTCATATTTTCGTTTACTGCCATATTTTCCTCTTAGCCTGGCTGCTTCTCCAACACTTGTAATCTATGTCAGGGATGTATCCCTGATTTTGTGAATCCAGACACATCGTTCCTTTCCTCATGTCTACTTCATTGAGTTAAGGGTTTGTTTCAGCAGCGAAGGGAATATCCATTTGTCAAAAGGCTTGTTGACTCCTTTCTTCAGTTTCATTGTCTCCAATAACTTTACGCCACATGCTCTTTAGGGCAAGACAAGAGTTGGACTGACTGGCAAAAAGACGAGAGCGATGTTGTTCTCTTCAAGGTATTTTACAACCGCAGGAGATACGTGTTAGCTCAGGTTGTTACTTATAACTGTCTAATTTGCCTTCTAAGCATAGTCAAAAGGGGATTGTTATATTCAGGAACCAATCCAGAAAACAGCAGCCGTTAATCCATCCTGACTTGCTTCGATTGTATCGAGCACCAGGAGGTCCTGAGGAGGTAAGAGTGTATCATCAACTGTTGCTGCGAACATGACTGAAGTAGTCCTTGCTTTTATTCATGACTCTTTCTGGATATTTGCAGACACTCCTAAAGATCAGCTTGCGTCGACCAGGATCTTCAGCAAGACATGTTTAATCGAAATTGATGATAGCTTTAGGAGGAACGCCTTCTAGGGGCCGTTCTAGCTCATTCAGAACTGCTGGAAAAAACATTTACTCTAATACTATTCACATTTTAACACTATTCAAGAGGAACAAACTATATATCATCTATTATTTATCCATGCGCGAGCTTTATTTCTAGAAAGGAAAGAACGAGTCCAAACAATAGCTGCATGTTGTTGAATTTAGCAATTTTCCTGGCCTCGTCTGCTGCTTAACGTACAGATATTCCATCTTTGCAGCCTGAACTGCCTTTCTGACTACATCATTGTCCACTGGTAAGTGAATCTCAGTGAACGAGGATCTTTCACTTCTTGCCGGATCTTTCTCTTCGTCCAGGGTCTTGTACGTTCTTACCATCGCGTCCCTATTAATCCCAGTTTTAGGTAAAACTTAAAGTTCTTTTCAAAATGTGACTTTGTAGAATTTCAAATTTTTCAATTCACAATTTTCGAAAACTCACCAAATGATTTAAACAACACACGGCAGTGTACTGATACCTTACACATGCAATAACAACCGCTAGAATACGCTCGGCAAATAGTTTCCCACATGAACAAAAAATTGAGCTTAAATATCATCTGACAAACAGGTCCACCATACATACAAATCGAAATTGTTGCCGAGTTTGTGGCTTATTTGCTGAATATTGATTAGTGATTCCGGCCATGTCAGCTG